TCGCTCCACCCCTCCCCTATCCTTCCTCTTGCCTATCATTCACCCCCTTGGCAAAACTTTCTTTCTCTCCCCAGTCTTCCACTGCATGAAAAATTCAAGATGGCGGCTAAACTTTTTACGATGTGAGCGCCCGCTCGAAAAAATCTCGCCTGCTCTGCAGGCTACCTGGCCTCCCGCAGCTTCAAATATACAGGTCCAAACAATTCTTCGATTTTCAATCGATCGAAGCCAGTGTTTTGGTTGAGCTCTCTATAATCACTGTCAAAGTATGGGCCGCGGCCAATTATTAAATAGAACTGAGTCAAAACAATATTTATACCCAATGAGGTGATGGACTAAACGTTAAATAGAAGTTCGCTTCTGTGAAAGGATCAAATTTTAAAACAAAGCGCTGCTCAAAGAAGACTCCAGTTTTGTATCTTCATTGTAATCTTGTATATTAATTTTTGTAATTTATTAATCATTGTATTTGAATTTGGCAAATTAAAAAAGTAAAATAGAAATAAAAAATTTGGGAGTCTTTCGAATCGAAACTTAACTCTGACTCCAGTGACGAAAAAGAAATGATGTTGAAACAAAACTTGGACGTTTTAGTACCAAAATATATTGGAACGATTAGTTTTGTTTTCCATCTTTTCGAGTAAATACAGAGAACTGACTGAGGCGCTATTGTGTTTGGTTCCTGGGTAGCCGTCATCAGCAACCGCCGCCCCAGACTTCCTAAACGCGGTCGCGCAACAATTCAAGCGCGACTTTGAAAGGGCACAGAAAATCGAGGATTCAACCAAATTCAAACATCTTTTCGCCCGAATGCTTCGAATAACAAGTGAATTCATTTTAGCAAAAAAAAGAAAAACAAAAAAAGAAAGAAAGAAAGAAAGAAAAAAAAATTGGGGGGGTTGGGTGCACGTTAAACTGGGAGTATTTCATTGTCATTTGAATTTATTAGCCTGTTATTTTGCAAAGCCCCACTGAGAAACACACGTAATGTGAGCTCCCTCATTAATAACATTTTTTTTCCTACCGGCGACTGTTAACGTTGCTCTTGTTTTGTCGGAACGTTCCCACACTGGGGAAAGATAATCACTCACAACAATGCACGATTTCATTAAGAAATTTTATTTTCAAAGTCATACATATAAAGCTCAAATAAAGTAAGGAACATGAGACAAAAAGGGTTTAGATACAGTAAGAGTTTCTAAAGACACTATTCGGCTGTGTCGACGGGCAACTGAAGATGATGAAATAAAAAAAAATTTACTGCTGTACCGAGTTAGTGTCGCTCACGTTTTAAGCTTTAGCTCTTCGTCAGAGCAAAGTGACGAGGGGTTGATGCTCGAAACTTGAGGTTCAACGTGGTTAATTTACCTCTATCGACTTCAAGTTGATAAATTTCTAGATTTAAAGTTTAACAAGTTCATCATATAAATCGAGAAAGTTGTGCTACAATTGGTTTCTGGCGGCTAAGATACGAAGCTCTTTCAACACGAACGACTTCATTTAAAATCTCTCAAGACTACTGCCTTAGCGTCTTCGTATTCATTGGCGCTCAAAGCTCCACACTCTTTCAGATCATAAAGTTCTTTGATTTGCTTCAAGATCTGTGCTCGCGCCACCGTTGTAGCCTGCGACTGAAAGAAATGGGTATTAAAAAAGGGAGTAAAATGACGCTCCCCCACCCCACCCCCTAGGCCGGTGTTCGGGAAACGAGCCCGCGCTCCTTCCCCGAAAACCGGACGCGAGAGAGTGGCGGGAATCGAGCCTACCAACCCCCTTGTTTAATTTTATTATTATTATTAAAAAGGAAACAACATTTTTCATTTTACAAAACATGTTTCGAAATTCCTATGTCATCTTCAATTGCAAATGTTCGACGGCTATACATTTGAATTTTACTGTATACATGATTACGTTATAGAATTACGCCATAAAATTTAGGTTAACAATTTGAATATTGGAATACACTGGGAACAACGGCTGCGTGCACGCCAACAGTATAGTTGAAACGGAATCAAAAAATTAAATAAAATAAACAAAACATGAAAAAGAATTAAAAATTAAAAATCAAAATTAAATTAAATTAAAAAGAAACGAGAGAAAAGAGACAAATCTAAGTGCCACAGCTGTTGGTTTAGAGTTGGAATTTCCCACTTAATATACAGCGCTTCTTTTATCTTAACTTGAAAACTCGAGGCGGCAGAATCTAGAATTGTGAAAGATTTTGCAGAGCATAAGTCGAGACAAGTCTCTGATGACTACAAGTGCTTGTAAACATAACGTCTAAACCAACAGCTGAGGCACTTAGATTTGTCTCTATCTTTTTAATTCTTTCTCATGTTTTGTTTATCTTATTTAATTTTATTTAATTTACTGCTGGCGTGCGCGCAGCCTTTGTTGCCAGCGTATTCCAATATCCAAATTGCATACTATTGTATTATCTTATTTATATTAAATGGTTATTCTGCAGATTGAAGTTAGCTTTATTTCGTTCCTTTTTCAGTCATAAATTATTGTTATACATCTTCTTGTAGAGGTCTTCCTTCATTCTGCTTTATAAAATATGCCATATACACCGGAAATATGGACAATAAAAGGTAAAGTTCTTCATGAAGACAGCCCATTCGACACAAGTGGTTCGCCAAAGATATTTCATCTTCGTCGTTAAAATATAAAATACCATCAATAACAATTATTCCATAGAGAATAAACAACGAAACAGCAATATTTGAACAAAGGAGGGCAAATCGTTTTGGGCAGTTTCTCCCGCGTTCCACAACTGTCATTCGGCTGAACATGTAGGTACGAAAACCAAGATACCACGAGCCAAACAAAATGACGCCAGTAGGCGAGTAAAATGCCACTAATTCACTCTTCAGAATGGCGAGTACATCTTCTGTATTAGCGAGCTGAGGACTGAAACAGTTATCACTTCCACAAAGTTCATATCTACGCCCGTAAAGCACCAGCAAGATAAACGAAACTAAAGCAAAAATGACGATATTTCGTTTAGAGTTCAGACGTTTTTGCATGGGCCTTCCCAAGGCTGTTGAAAACACCAGTGCTGCCAGCAAATAAACCGACAAAAACGAGAAAATCGTCGCCAAAACGGTCCAAAAATGCTGCCTCGTAATCTCAACTGCCGCATGTGTTATAATATTCCAAGTGTTCAGGAATAATTGCATTAAAATAATCTTGTCCAATCTTCCCGGCGAAGACCAAGAATTGTAAACCCAGAAAAATAAAACCACACTGTTTAGAAGGCCACAGGCATAAAGTAGAAAAACTACAAAAGTCATCAAAGGCCTTTAGAAGTAACAGGGTTAACTTTCTTTGCCACAACATTCACTGTCTTTTTAAATTGATCCACGAGGGTTCACTCAAAAGCACGTTGAAGTTGTATATTGCGCCCTTGAGAAATCAAAACAATATCTTCCCACGAACTGATCACGGAATGATGTACATTTATTGCTTTATTGTTTTAGTAATATTTTTAGTCCATCGAGCACAGTTCGTAGAACTGACCTCTATACATCATGCCAACTTTTCGTTACCAAAAATTTCTTAGTTTAATACGCGCAGAGTCTTGCAGATTTGTGCGAAAATATTCTCGTTTATGAGGAAATTAAAAGCCAGAAAATGTAATTTAAAACGCAAATGTTTGGAAAAATATAAGCTGACTTTGTTGTAGTATTAAACGGCAAAATGGTTACTTTTAGAAGGACAAAAACTCTCCGACCATTTTCTCGAGTTGCTCAGTGTTTCAATGATTCAGGAGCTCAGATAAACTTAGATAAGATCATTAGATACATGTAGATAGTTTATTGAAGTTTTAAAATCCAGCTCTAGAGCTGAATAAGATAAAGCTTTACAAATGAATTCAAAACATAAAACTATGCTAAAATGTGATCCATGAAAAACATCAAATAAAATCGTTTGCATACGAGTTATAAAGTCTGTAAACCAGCGGACTGAGTACGTGCGTGCTGCGTACGCATACACTTTATTGGACTTACCGCTTGCGGGGCCTGAGCGGAGGATAGTGCCTTCATTAATGCGACTCTAGGTAGCTTCACAGCTAAACTTTTACCAGATGCCCTGCCGGCACTAGTGGTTACTTTGTTGCCGTTGGTCAGCCCTGGGCCTTGGCTATCAGCTGGTGTCGATGGAAACGAGCCACTATACTGAAAAGAAATGAAATGGCAGACTTCGGCTAGCCACTCAACTCGTCACCCCTCTCAGGCGTATACACCTCTCTGAGTTTAGATACAGATTATCTAAAAATGGCTTTGCTGGCCCGAAAAGTTTCCGGGGCTTTCGAGAAACGGGCCCCAGCTCCCAGTTGGCTTCATGGCTCAGTTTGTAGAGCACTGCACCGGTATCGCAGAAGTCATGGGTTCGAATCACGTTCAAGCCTGAATTTTTTTTACCAGGTTTTAATTTCACAACTGCTTACGTTATGTGTATAACTGCGATGATCATTGATGTCTTCACAGTGCACATCAACGCAGGTAATAAGCATAGAGGAGAAACGTTTTCTTTTTTTTTGGTAAAGAGTATTGATGAAAATCAAAATTTTGATTACAGAACAAAAGTACCGCAATCTTACCGTCACTGTCTGTTGAAACTGACTTGTACAGGGTTCATCTTCGCTTTGGACTTGGTCACTCACATGAGCTTCTAGTAGATAAAAGATGTTTGCTTTAGTCACTGTTTAGTACACTCTGAAGTAGGATTTTCCAAGAGACGAAAACTAGTAACACCGAGTTCTGAAAGATACTGATGAAAACCTGATTTTGGATGTTCGGCGATTTAGAACTGTTTGTAATCTAAAATAGGGTTTACCATGTCAAGTCGAGTTTATAAAATGCAAGGCGTCTAAGTAATATTATAAATGATTAATATTACGTAACATCTGATCATATATAATATATGTTAATAAATATAATAAACATTAATAAAATTAATACAGGACCAGAATTTATTGATCTTTATTATGCCAGTCAAATCTTCTTGTTAGTCAAGATGATTTGCGCCTGCATTTGTCCAGACACATCATCATAACTCCAAAGCGGTGCTTCGCCTGATGCCTCGGGTACGCTCAGAGCCGGAAGGTGGCCAGCATTAGTTACAGAGGCTGTTCTTACTATGCTGTGAGTTAAGCTACAAACCCGTGGGAGGGGGGGGGGGG